TTTAAAAGTTTCTGCTCTGAAGATTTGGTGTGTTGCAAAGAACATAAGTGGATGCCACTGTATTTTCAGAGCTACAGTAAAAAATTATAAATATAGTATCTGATTCAAGTAGTATGTGTTTAGTAAGGTTTTGTCTTTTTGTTTTCAATGAATCAGTCAGAATTGAATGATTTGATATATGCTACAAATCTCCCTTTTGCTTTGCACTTTTCAGGTGTGGTTAGCTGCAGCCATTTGAACAACAAAAGGCAACAAATAGCCCTCAGATTGCTTATTTTCAAAACAAAAGCACCCATTCACAGCTGATATAGAATGTGAGCTAAAATCCTTGAGCTCAATCGATCCCTCTCTGGGTTCCAAAGGTAGAAATATTAAACGACCCTTCTCTGGGACTTCTAGACGGACTCTGTCCTGAACTCAGTCCCTAGGGTTCATCTTCTGGGGATTATGAGGCATTTTCTCAGTCAGAGGACACAGCTGTGAAGTTTGACTTGTTCCATCAACCTCTGTTTAAAAAGTGAAGTACATCTTTCCAGCAAGTTACATCCAATGGATGAGCAGCTCTTCATTTAAACCAGCACTGAGGTACGGTCTCAACATGAGCTGCAGCACTCAGAAAGACCCACAGCCATGTTCCACACAAACACACGCACACACACACACACACACACATTTGTCAGATGTGAGGTCAGGCATGCGGCCATCATTCATTTAAAAGATGGCTGAGAGGCAGAAGCAGAGAGGGAAACGGGAACCCAACAAGAGACAAATGGGAGGATGGGATTTAGTTGAACATGTATAACCACCACCCATGGGAGTATGTACACACACACACACACGCACACACACACACACACACACATTTGTCAGATGTGAGGTCAGGCATGCGGCCATCATTCATTTAAAAGATGGCTGAGAGGCAGAAGCAGAGAGGGAAACGGGAACCCAACAAGAGACAAATGGGAGGATGGGATTTAGTTGAACATGTATAACCACCACCCATGGGAGTATGTACACACACACACACACGCACGCACGCACGCACGCACGCACGCACACACACACACACATACACACACACTCACATTCCACCCATATCTGTGGTGATGGAGATGCAGTGCCTGGTTTGTGTCAGTTCAACATATAAATGATATCATAAGAAAAGTAAATCTACACACATAAACGATTAGTACATGAACAAACTTCAAACGAAACAGGCCTCCAACTGTGTGGTTTGTTACAAATCTAGAAGTCAGTCCAATTCAAGTTGTCACAACCAGCTGACCCTGTAGGAAGACAAAAACACACCTTCTGCTCTGATCCAGCAGTAGAAAACAGAAACACTCAATGAAACAAGAAGAAACGCTCTCCTGTAGGCTTTGATCTGCAACAGACTCAATACTCAAGCTTCAAAGGAGAGAAGAAATTAGTTCAATAAAGTCAAAAGTCCACTGTGGGTGCTTCAGTTATTTTGTACGCTAATGCTAGCATGAAGAAAAGAGTCACTACTTCTAATGCTAATCAGAAAAAGAAGACTATTTTCAACAACCACATACCAACAAACAGCAAACTCACGAAAATAGAACAGACTTCGGCTTTTAGCTTTACGTGGTTCCACATTGCTGTTTTGACATGTTTCCCCTTGGTAATATCTTTAAATGATGATAAGGATGATGGGAAAAGACTGATGAGTTTGATTCAATCACTACATGAATGAAAACCCTGATTGGCTTTGACAACACCAATGACAGACAGAAGATCCAACCTCCTCAGCGTAGGGCCAGGTGATATATCAAGTAAATTTGAGATATTAAGAGTGTTCCCTTGTGGGAAATGAAAAATGACAATAACAAATATTGGTTTAAAATTTAAATGCATTTTTTTTGCAATCATCATCTAATTTACAAGAAGTTTAGCTTTTCGTAGCTTCTGCAAATGCATTACAGCTTACTGCCCCACATCCTAAAAAATCCTGGCAGACCCTGCCTACTTTCCTTTTATGTTTATGTTTCAGAAGGGGAGAAAAAAACTTATGAGGCTGTGTGCGCTGCATGATGATTAAAATTTACGCTAACATGCAGCTAATATAACAACACTGAAGGAATTATTAGACTTATTTATTGTTAGAGGATGGATTGTTTGGATCTCAAAACTGTATCGATTCTCTAAAGCACTGTATTGATTTCTAATTAAGGTTTAAAATGTAAACTTTTATGCCAACGGTTCATTTTTGTATTGTAATCTAGCCTCTGACCACTAGTTGGCAGCAGTGAGCCAGCCAATTAGCTCCTCCACTCCTGAGGAGCCAGAGAGTATTCAGCGGGTAAAATAAATTTTGAATACGTCAACATTTTTCTCAGTAAATATATTACTAGAGGTGCTAATGACATGAAATTTTCAACAGATGTTGGTAACAACCCAATTGATCCATACATACAAAGAAATCAAACCATAAAYGTCCAGAAATGAAGTTATTTGTAATAATGTGGAATGGCACAGGGAAAAAGTATTGAACACATGAAGAAAGGGAGGTGTAAAAA